GCACTTGTTTCTAGTAGCTTCTTGTTACTACTAGTAAGGCACTTGTTACTACTAGTAAGGCACTTGTTACTACTAGCGTGGCACTTGTTTCTAATAGCTTTTATGCTACAAGTGTCCTTTGGCTTTGTATCAAGGGATTGGGTCACAAGTCTTCTTGAGTGCGCTTGGAGTGGCCAAGCTACATGCGGCCACCACGGCGTATGTTTATGTCTCGATGGACTCATGAAATGTCACATGAGTTCTTCGGTACGCTTACATGTTAAATGAACAGGTGCCTTACTAGTAGTAACAAGAAGCTACTAGAAACAAGTGTTAAATGAATTTCATGTTCGTTTTGCTTTACCTTTTGTCCGGGGAATGGTGTTCATTCCATGTTTCAAGTTCATTCAAGCGAAAGCCACGGCACAAACTACCGCACGTGTGCATCGCATGAGCCTACAATGAATTGCAGTGTTCGTCGTCAAACAAATGTGCTCTTTGTGTGGTGGATCTGATGCTTGCATGTGTGAAGAAGGCTCACGTTGTTCGCTCTTTGGATGGAGGCCATCGCTATAATTACAGTAGGTTCGAGGCCATTGCTTCTAGGTTGAAGAAGGTTCACGTTGTTTGAATATATCTGTGTGTTTGAGTGGGTCACTTCTGTGGAGTTCTCCTGTCAAACTGAAGTCACGGAGGGAGTTCAACTAAACATTGAACCCGAATCTTCTGGTCGGCTTCTGTTGCTCCACTTCAATGGAAAACCAGTATTGCTTGGAATCCGCCGCAGGGTCATGACAATACAAAACAACAAGCACAATGCAAGCTGCACCCCACTGCGGTGCTTTTGCTATGAACTTTCGACTTTTGGCACCGAAGATCAAGGAAGTCATGACTTTGCTGCGCGGCCTCGAAGGATTGGATCCGAACGCGTTGTGTAGCCATCGCCGGCACAATGGCCTCACCTAAGGCTTGCTGAACGCATTGCAGTTTTCATCTTGAAGGTGAAAGAACTAAATGCATCTAGAGATGCCTTGAATTATTTCTTTTCTGGTAGTGCTCCTTCAATAACTAGTATCATTCAGCCCTAGTAGTAGCACACTTCGGTGTGGTCCTTTAGCTGATAGCACACATTCTAGCACCTTTCTTGCGAATGTTGCAGGCCTTGGATGTTGGACGCAACGGCACCTCGAAACCTTTTTTCGAAGCTTCATGATACGCCTGTCATCTGAGGATCTCTAGACTATGACTATATGTCACGCCTTCCTTCCTTCCTTCCTTCCTTCCTTCCTTCCTTCCTTCCTCGGTCTCCTTGCCACCTCACCTCGTCTCCGGTCTGCTTCCCTGTGATCCACATAAGACCCTTCCCATATGTCGCAACAACCCGAACACAGTTCGGCAGTAGGTCGGGCCGTTTGCCTGGAGAGGCTGCCGATACATATGCTAGTCCTTTTTTGAAAGAATCTCTCCGATGGAAGTGTTTTGTGTTCACTTCTATTTAGACATATGTTTTCCATAGTTCTATACGTATCTATTTTTTCTTTTTGTCTTTCTCTCTCCCCCATCCCTCTCTCTCTTTCTTTCTGTGCTTTGCCTTTTTTTCTTTAGAGCTGTCTTTCAATTTTTGTTTCTCGGCCTATTCTTTTCGATCTTTAAACTAAAGCTTTATGCATTTATCTTCTTCTATACGCCTTGAGAGTTTAGACCTTTGTCAAATATATTTGTTTCTTTCGTTGGACCGTTAAGCATCTTTTTCTCTCTCGGAGCATGGAGGCCTTCAATGCGTCAGCTCACAAGACTTGGCTGGATTCCACACTTGTCCAAGCTTGCTCGATTAGTCCAGACTCGGCTGCTGGCCATCTCTTTCATCCGCTTTCCTGTGTTTCGTGGGCGATTCAGCACAATGAATTCGTGTCAAGTGCTTCTTTCAATCTGGTCCTCTCGGAAGCTCGCTGGCCTCGATACACCAAGGTCTCTTCACATAGACTTGCTTGAACTCCTAAATCTGCCAACTAGTCTCGAGCATGTGAAGAGCTTGGGCAATGACTACCGCTTCTGCTTCTGCTAGCTCTACCTGCCAAGCAGCAGTTCCTTAATCTGAATGAAGGGGCAAGCCGGGCATGGAAACTAGTAGCAAGAAGTAACTAGGTTGGAGGCCACTACTACGGTATCGTAGTAGCAAGAAGCTACTAGTTCTTTTTTAACGAAAGGCACGTTCTCCGAGACCATCTCTCGGGAGTACAGGGGCTTACGTGCCCTGCCTCGAGACGGCCCCAGCTATGTACAATCGATCTGACGATGTTTTCAGATCTCTTCGGCTAACCACTTTCTGCAGGACCTTCCCTGAGCTCTTTCTCGATTTCAGCTAGCAAATCCTTCTTCTTTTGAAGCCTTGACTTCCGAGTGCCTCAACAAGGAAAAGTAAGTAAGTTCTATCCCACAAGGAACAAGTATGGTTGCAATGGGCCCCTGCCTTCCCCATCTACTTCCAAATAGCCAATGTGGTCATCAACAATCTCACAACTCTCCTGAATGAGACTCACAGTGGCCAGTGAAGTCCACCAGTTGCACTCTACCAGTCTAAGCAGCCACTCCAAGAATGTTTTACAAGGAGAAGGGGCTAGTCAGTGTCTAGAGAATTTCTAACGCTGCTGTACTTCCGCCCCGTCGTTTGTTTCCAATGGACTGTCGGGCGCTTGCACACCGGTACAGCCGCAGGTCAGTGACCGTGTACAGATCTAATGAGACCCTCAGGAAGGGACCCCTTTGTTTCACCCCGACTCACTTCTACGACATTGCCTCTTAAAGTGATGATCAGTGAGTTGGTTGTGACTATTGGCAACAATTCCTAGCCCTCCTTGGGTTGCAGCCTGTCACGTGTGCGGCATCAGTTGGCCAAGGCACTTCGGGTTGGAAGGCAGCCAATTCGTCTGCATGTTTCAGCTTTAGTTCATCCTCCATGGCCTTGTACTTTTCATCCAAATCTCGCTTTTCTTGTCGTGCCTCAATTTTCTTGTGCTCGCGCTTGGCCTTCGCAAAGCTCATCAACCTCCCTGTGGGCGAGTTCGCACAAGTTTCACCCGACAGGGCCAAAGTGTTGTCATGTAACATCATGTAACAAAAAATTGCTAGTCCTAGCAGTGCCGTGAAAAGGGCACTTACTGATTAAAGGCATCCAGCTCTGAGCATCCGAGAAGTAACATTGTGAAAACAATGTGCCTGACGCACAAACAAAAACACATCGAGGCACATAGTAAACAACAGTATTGATCAGATTTGGCAGCACACACGCGATTGGTCATTATGACCCGCAACTCTAATTACAGAACTTGAAAGAAGGATGCAATGTCGTCATGAGTGGCCGAATACACCGTATGACTTGTGATCCGAAGTTGGAGCTCGGTGAACAAATGCCGCCGAGTGGCCTGCTTCGATCTTTTTTTGTTCCTGCAAGGCCTTCAAAAGGCAAAGTGGGTTTCACTCACACGCCTTGGAGCTACTAGTAGCAAGGATGCTACAAGGTGGAGGCCATCCCCACACACTCGGCCACAAGGGGATCAAATTGCTAAAAAAACGACAGGGTCAGGCCTGCTCCACAAGCACAGGCCCGTGGTTAGTGGGGGACCGAAGATGCCATTCGAAAGCGCCAATTTTTATTGTTTGATTGTTTCCAGCAATCTCTTTTCTTACTTTTTTCCACACCTGTCAGGTGAGGGTTGTTAGATTTTATGTCAGCTGCCTCGCGTCTCCCTTCCTCTCGTCGCCTCAAACCGCCAGGCCCCGTTATGTGTTTGTGGTTGTGCGTTGTGGTTGAGGTCCGGCGGGGAACACTGCTATCGGGAGCTGGCGGTGTGAGGTCCGGCGGGGAACACCGCCGTCCACAAACACACAATCACAAACACGCAGCCAGAAACACGACCGCAAACACATAACCACAAGCATAACCACAAACGCACAACCACAAACACACAACCACAGCACACAACCTTGGTTACTCACTGTTACAGGTCATAGGACAAACCCAGTGCTAATAGGACAGGCCCAGCCCATGTTCAATGTTTTGGAGTCTGCACACAACCACATAACTACAAACGCACATACAAGGACACACTCACAAACAAACAGCCACAAAGACACATCCACAACACACACAAAACACAACCACAGCGCACAACCACAACGCACAACCACAAAGACACAACCACAGCACACACAACCACAACACACAACACCAAACACACCAACAAAGAGACAGCCACAAACACAGAACCACAAGGACAAATCCGCAGCACACAACCACAACGCACCCTCACAAAGACACAGCCACAGCACACAACCACAAACACAACTATAAAAACACAATCCCAAACACACAGCCACAAAGACACATTCACAGCACCCAGCCACAACGCACAACACCACTGCACACAACCACAGCACACAGCCACAAACAAATAGCCACAAACACAACTACAAAGACACAACCACAAAGACACAACCACAGCACACAACCACAACACACATCCACAACACACAACCACAACACACAACACCACTGCACAGAACCGTAGCACACAACCACAAAAACAACAAGAAAAACAGAAGAGGACATGGAATATATGGCTGTAGACTGTTTGAGTGACCTGTGGCCAGTGGATTTGTTGGCGCTCTGCAGCCGGAGCGCGCTGGCTCACCGCATGAGTTGAGGTAGCGCATGCCTGTAACCGAAGCAACCTTTCTTTTGTTCATACTCGCACCTTCTGCATTGCGCGTTGCCACAACAACAATGCATTACACTTGGGACATGTGGATGCGTTGCTTTTGCTGCGGTGTTGTTTCGGCCAGTTCGCTTCTGTCAACAACTGAGGGGAAAAGTAAAGGTAGCAAAGGTCATGGGCCATGAGGTCCGCCAGAGTTGGCCGCCAGAGAAGTTATAGACCGACATGTTCCGCTCTTGTGTGCAAGGGCTTTCTATGAGCTTGTTGGCCGCGGTGTGTGTGCTGGGTTGGTCCACATCGACACATCCACAGCACACAGCCACAACGCACAACCACAGCACACAGCCACAACACACACACAAACACAACGCACAAACACAGCACACAGCCACAAGCACATAACCACAAACACAAACACACACTCACAGCCACTAAAACACACACACACACAATCACAAACATGTCAGACAATATGGCAAGTAGAAGTTTAGAATATATATTACCAGATAGAATGTCACAATATATGTCAAAGAAAATGTTTCTGTCGTGTGCCCTGTACACCTCTTCTTCCCTTGCCTTTACGAGACCAAACACCTGACAGGCGGCACGCCGCTGTCTTGCAAGAATGTCAGTCACATCTGACAAGCAGCAAAATGCGCCGGAAAGAATGCTGAAATAATGTCTCAATACATGCCAGAAAATTTGTCAGATTGAAGTGTCATGGTGGGGATCACTCGAAGTGAAGTACTTTTTTTAAAACATGTATGTTTCGTTTTATAAAACGGTTCAGTACCCCCCCAACCCCGATCAACCCCCCTGCCAAAAAATGCGCCTTAATCTCGCGCTTGTGCCGCTGCAGAATCTTCCCCCGGCCCGGCCGTGCATCTTCGTCGCTCTCCGATTGCATTTCCATTGCGCCACACGTCAGCTTTGGAAACGATTGAAAACACCTGAGGCTGAGATATGTCAGAAAGGCATCCTGTTCGGTAGTACAAGGTAGTTCAGCCAAAGTCCCTGCAGGGAATCGAGTTTGGGAATCTTTTTGCAAAAACATTATTAACTATCAAATTCCTTCAGGCATCCAAGTGACACAACTCTGGATAGTGTATGATCTAATTGTGTGGACAACCAAGAATATGATCATCCAAACATGTCTAAAGCGAGCCAAACATGTCCAAACATGCAACATTCCCTTATGAGTTTAGTCGCCTCCAAACACGGCTCACCACAGCAAACTGTCATTTGTTTTTCCCACCACATCGAACTAGACAAAAATACACCAATAGTGATGGCCTCCACCCTATATAAACACGCTCTCTCTCCATATAGGACGCTACTAGGAGCAAAGGGCATCGCTACTAGGAACAAGGACGCTACTAGGAGCTTTTTCTTCAGCCCTTTCACCTTCCGATGCATCACGGGGTCATAGCCTGACCTCACAGGCCCTCTCTTGGGCTAACTCAGGGCTTCTGTCACTGGCATTTGCCGCCACAAGAGGCAGCTGGCTGAACAAAATGCCAGGTGATTCGGTGATTTACACTGACTCACGACAATGATTCATGGATTCTGTCCTTGGGTGCACTTTACCCACTCAATGGAGCAACCCCACTGCAAAACAGTTCTCAAAACACGGATAGGGAATGAGGATAGGAAATCACACTTCCCACAAACCCTATGCTTTCCGTGAATTTATTGATTGGAGCTGACTCCAGAGAGAGGATCATTCGACTAGTTGACTAGATCGGTCAACGGCAATCACAGGCTGCCAGTTGAGCTAACTAAGAGTTGCGACACCAAAGGCCCATGTAAAGCCTTTGTCTCCAAAGGGAGCAGTATGAAACTGCGATTGAAATGACATACGTTATTTGACCATTGAAACCGCAAACCAATGCCGAATCCTCCTGCAGGGTGATTCCGATCCTTTGTGTCAGGGTTTCAAGGTCAGCTGTGCCGTCAGCTGCTGAGCATTTCTCAGCTTGCTTCTGGCCTAAAGCAGCTCCCTCACATCACGCCACACTGTCCCTGCCTTGGGCCATCTAGAAGGAACTTACAAAAAACTGCACATGTTCTGCTAGGTCCCATCAGGAATATCGCCATAACCTCGTAACTCTCCCCTGCTTTCCACCAACAAAACCTTCAGAAAATCTGCACCAGTGCTTCTACTGACTAACATCTGCATTGCCTATAGATTGTACAGACTCAATACCACTCAATACTCTCAACAAGCCAAGCTGCGGTAGAGGCTCGCCCTGTGGTAGAGTTTCCTCTGGTTCCTCTGGTTTCAGCTTCCACACTTCCAGAACATGTGGTGACGCATCGACATGCGATGCTGCTTCAGCTTCCCTCTCATCAAACATGTTGAAGACCTGGTGGACTTGGGCTCTTTGAGGGAAAGGCCTGGGTGTCTTTTTCTCGTTCTCCTTGTTCGGCTCCTCACTTTTGGACGGGCATCTCTTTGGCACCTAGGAAGGCATTGCGATTCGAGCCCCTAGTAGCGTCCTTGCTCCTAGTAGCGATGCCCTTTGCTCTCCGTAGTAAGGCCAGGAGCCCCAAGTAGCGTCCTTGCTCCTAGTAGCGATGCTCTTAGAAAAGGACATGATTTCTACATCCAAATGATCTGAGAGACCGTGGACGGTCGCTTTGTGACCTTGTTTGCAAATGGCCGCCGTGGTTCTTCGGACTTCGCCACAGTTGCGGCAGTTGTGCACTCTGCAGTGAGCTCTTCGCGATTGCCCTCGCTCGGTCGAAGCGGCATACTTTTCAGAATCCTAAGTCGATGTGAGTGCAGTACTAGTAGCTACTCTAGTAGCTACTCTAGTAGCTTCTTCTTACTAGCGATGGCCTCCAACCTGCTTGCGATGGCCTCCACCTAGTAGCTTCTAGCTACTAGCAGCTTGGTGGAGGCAAAAGAGAGACCACACACACAGAGATAGACCACCAAAACAGCAAACAATGCTCACACTCTGTCAGGCGTCTGTACATGTTTCGCCTGTGGAGAGTTGTCCTTCAAAAGACCTGGCAGGGGCATTGAGGGCATTGAGGGTTGATGGTTGGTGAATCAGTGAAACCCTTAAAAATCACTATGGCAACAATCTGCCATGAAACAACTCCATCTCGCTGTTACGACACTGCCATGTTCAACACTGCTTCTGTCCTTTCTCCTCCGGCTCACTGGACTCGTCACTTGGGCCCCGGTCGCCACTTCTCGCTTCACTTCTCGCTTCCGCTTCAGGTGACGTGTCGTGCAGCTTGTTGTGCGTGTCGTCTCCAGAGATGCGACACGTCACTTCATCTTGGTCACGCTCAAGTGAAACTGGGGAGGCAACCTCGGAGTTATCCAAAAATCTCCCGGACACACAGTACACACAGTGAAGCACACCACAATACTCAAAAAGGTTACGCTTCCCCAAGAATATCCAAAAGAACTTCTTCAAGGAAGCTCCCCTTCGCTCAGGTGCGGAAAGCTTCCTTAAAGAAGCCTGAGCCGAGACTGCGTCCAAGCCTAGTAGCTTCGGTCTCCTACTGAATCCACTTACACCCCCCTTACTGCCAAATCCCCGGGGGTAGAAATAAAACGATATTTAACAACCTAAGGCCTAAGGCGGCCTAAGGTCTCAACAAACCGCAGCTCAGCTTCAGATGCCGATTCCTTTGCCGATTCAGCCTTTCCTTCATCCTTTTTTCCAAAGCATAGTGTCCGGCAGTTCTTCCAACGATGGTGCTTTAGAAAGCCATGCCGCTGGTGAACTCAAATTCTCATCTTGCCAATGAGACCTGGGTAAAAGAAGCAGCGTCAGTTCGCCATCGAACTCAAAACACATGCAGTATACATCGCCAAGCAACTGTACACATTTGGCTTGAGGAGAGCCATTGAAAAGACCTAGCAGGGCAAAAAGATGTGTGTCTATTTGATTTGTCGCGCATCGTTTCATCGAACGATGGCAATATCGATGGTTTTGGTTCCTCAAATGTTTCACGTTTCACGGCAGACTTCCTGGCTCGTTGGGATCTGGTTCTCCAGCAGTCGCAGGAACCTTAGCACAGGTCTAAACTCAAGATTGACGGCGTCACTGTTGGTGTTAAGGCCACGAGCTTCACACAAAAGGCGACAAAGGACAAACAAAAACAACATGGGTAATCTGATAATCTTTTTGCAAGAACCTGTGCTATCCTTTAAGTTCAGTTCTTGTAACTAGCGTGTTTGTTTTTTCCTTTCTTCCGCCTTTTTCTTTTTTCTTAGAGCTTTAGTGTTCTTGTGGTGAAGGTCCAACGAAACAAAACCCAGACCTCCAAGGACTCAGTGTCATCGGACGCAGCCCCGGCAGAGGTCTCTGCGCTCAAGAGATGGGCATCGGACGGAGCAGCTGGTGTGGACCAATAGAACCTGTGCAAATCTTAGCAACAGCTCTCCACGCAGAAAGTGGCGCGTTGCAAGGGCCCGCTAAACGGGACATGTGACATGGATATTAAACTGAAATGAAGCAGAACGACAAGGTTCACGGATGCCCTTGTTACATCTTGTTACTAGTAGCGATGCCCTTGAGCAACGCATGCCTGGCTCCAGGTCGAAATTCTGGTGCTTCGATCCGCATCGCCCAAGCTTCCTCATCCTCGCCGTCCTTGCGCAAAGAACGCAGCAAATCGGCGCCAAGGGTCTGACCCACCTGCCGGAGCGGACCGCAAAGCAACCGAAATAAATGTAGGAACAAGTGCCACGCTACTAGGAACAAGTGCCTTACTAGTAGTAACAAGAAGCTACTAGAAGCTTTTAATTTGAATCAAATTAAAATTACAAGAAGGCTACTAGGACCCACCTGCCGGAGCGGACCGCAGGTAGCAACCGAAATAGATGTAAGAGAGTAGCAAGAACGATAGGAACGATACACCCTCTTCTCGTAAGGAGTAGCGATGGCAGCCAAATGTAGGACCGCAAAGAGACCTTTCCTGTAAATGAAAGCTGAGCAAGCAGGTCAACCAAAGTTACCACACACTCACCAGAATCCCACTGAATATGTTCAGCTGCAAGATCACTGGTTCCTTATATAAGGCTTTGATCAAAGGTGGGAGAAAAAATAGAAAACGCATATTCTTTGGCACGTTGGTAACACTGTCGTAAGTAAAACGTACCCCACCGACCGAGTCCCAGCCTCTTGACTCAGAGTTTGGCTTTCTGTCGATCTCTGAGCAGCGCTGCGGCCCATGCCTCTTTCAAAGAGCAGTGCAAGTAAGGATAAAAAGCACAGAAACAAAGCGCAAGCAAGTGCATAGTCCCTAAAGTGTTCATGTTGTTCAAAACTCTGCCTGCACTGAAGGTGCTGAGGGCGTATTGTTGGGGTGCGAACACTGAGCCCCTAGAGCGTTAGCCCCGGTTTTCTTCCCCTTTGGAACGGAAGACCTTATTGCAAGCCGACGGGGCGGGGCCATTTTGGACACATGACGGCACTGGCAAATCAAACGCTCACATAAAGCAAGGGGTCAATGGGCCAAAAAAGTGTTTGGTATTTAGTGAATCTACAGTAGTGGCTGTGCTTGGAACCGGCTGATCCTCAATAGACAGCACTGACCGACCATCTCACACCAGCTACATGAATAGATGTCTCTACATTGACCGCGGCTGGTGCACATCGATGCGCAAAATGAAGTGCGTCTTGTTAAAAGAAGCGTTCTTGGAAGGACGCCGGGAGCTGGCGATCTCAGTGCTATTAAAACTCGGACAAATGCTCCCAAATGCTCTGTGACTCTTCATATTCGCCGCAATCGCTGCACGTGCCTGCGCCGATAAGGACCTTCAACCCTTCTGACAGAGCAGCGGGGTCTCCGCTTTTGGCAGGGATATCGATGGTGTCCTTCACCCAAGATCCTTTCCACTCGAAACGCAATATCTGCGCCGTCTCAGAGCCATCGGGGCGTCGCACGATTGCGGAGCCCATGGCGCTTGAGGAAGAGCCTTGGATCGGCAACTGTCACAAAGAGAAAATAAAGGGCCTCCAAATATGAATGAGTTTCCAGCAAGTGACTTCTTGACGGGATTGCTACCAAAGACTAGGGAATTACTGTGGGGGGTTCTTCAACATTCATACATCTAGGCCCTGCCTACCTCAGCTTTTCAGAAAATAAGATGTGCTGTATAAGAACTCGTTGTGTGAAAGGTGATGTGCACAGCCCTTACATTGCACGTGTCATGCCATAAGAGGTAGTCTGGAAGTGACTATGCTCGGTGGTATGGGTGGGCCAAGGTTCATGAAACACAGCTTGAATTCGAAAAGGAATGCGAATAGTTCTGGAATGCAATTCGAAAAGACTTTACGACTCCAACCTAAGAGCATTTTTTTGAAACCCGCTCCCCCGCCTCCCTACTTGATTAAGTAGGCGCCTACTTAATGAAGTGAGAGTTTAAGTAGCTACTATCGACAGGACGCAGGATAGCTCACGTTTCTTCAAGAAAAAAAACTTCCTTGAAGAAGCGCTCGCACTAATGATTTGGTTCCTA